TATTATTAATTATTATTATTATTATTATTGTATTTTAGGGAAGGGTCTACAGGGTGTTCAGGGTCTCACTACAGATCAGACTTGTAGTGATCCACCTGTTTACAGCCTCCCAAGAGCTGCAATTGTAGGCATGTGCCACTGCGCCCAGTCTCAATTGCCATCTCAGCATGCCCCGGGGGTGGGGCCCACATGGCAGGCTCGGGGACTGAACCCCTGGCCCCTGTGCCTGCTTGCAGGCAGCCTCTTAGATGGGAAAGTTTCTTAGGAAAGTTCCTGGGATCCTCAGCACTTTGGTTTCCTCATCAGTAGTCCGGGGATGAAGACACCATTCAGCTGGCAGACGTGGGTAAGTGCCCGGCTCAGCAAGTGATACACAGTAGAAGGCTGTGGTTGACACAGACAGACAGTGAGGATAGCGAGTCACAAAGGACACATTCCACTCCGCAACATTGGAAGACACAGGAAGTAGATCCAAGGTTATAGAGTAATGGAGAGTAATGGTTTAATGGGCACAGAATTCTCTTTGGGATGATGAAAAGTTTTGGAAATAGAGCCAGGAATAGTGGTGCATGCCTGTAATTCCAGCACTCAGGAGGCAAGAGGACCACGCATTTAGGGCCAGCCAGGGCTACCTAGCAAGTTCGAGGCAAGTTTGGATGGAACACAGTGAGAATCCTTTTAAACAAAACAAAACATTTTGGAAATAATGGTGATAGTTTTGCAATAGTGTAGATGTAATTATGCTGCTTGAATATGGCTAAAATGGCACATTTATGTTATATATAGTTGCCCCGATAAAAATATATTTTAAGAAAGAAGGCTGTGAAGGGGCTGGGGAGATGGCTCAGTGGAATAAGTGCTTCCCTGGCAAGCGCAAGGGCCTGAGTTCAAGCCCCGGTTCTGCCAAAAAAAAAAAAAAAAAAAAAGAAGAAGAAGAAGGCTGTGGAACCTAATTGTGTGTGTGTGTGTGTGTGTGTAAATCCTGTTCTTAGCGATACTTTTATGGAGATTCTCACCTAGACATGGCCTCTACTGTACAGTAGGTGGAGTGTCATTAGAATAAATGGTAGACCCTCTGACAATGTAGGTGACTCTCAGACAAGATGTCCTGTGAAAGAAACCAGACACAAAAGAGGACATCTGTCCTGTGTGACTCCATTTACACAAAGTTCAAAGGCAGGCAAAACTCATCCACTGTGCAGAAGGAGGTCTGGGTAGGGTTACCCTCCGGGAACAATTAGAGTACAGTATTGGAAAAGGGTACTCGGCAGGAATGGGGCGGGGCCCTCTGGGGTTGCCATGTCCTGTTTGTTGCCCAAAATGCTATTACCTGGGTCCATTCACTGTTGGAAAATTCTCTAGAGCCATTTCACGCTTCTGTGTTCTCTTTTCTGTACATGTTTACTTCAGCAGAACTTTTTTTTTTTTTCCAAAGTTCTGGTTCAAGTCGTGGTGAACGGAACGGTGAGCTAGAAAGCAAAGCTGCAGACGCCTGATTTATACACACTTAACCTGTGCCAAGCCAAGGGACTACGAACCGGGACTTGTAATTCTCTGCACTGCTGGAGATGCAGTCTGCCCCTCCCCCAGGCCTCTGGGAGCTGTAACCAATTAGTTTGTGAACTCTAAATGGAGGCTTTCTATAGCTCACTCTGGAGGGGGGGACATGGAGGGAAGGGGGTACACTGACCCCCAAGCACACAGCCCTGGGTCAGAAATTGCCTGGGCTGTAAGCACACAGCAGGTATGCAGCAAATACTTGTCACAGACTGTGTAGTCAGTTTCTCTAGTGCATCCCTGGGCTCCCACCCATCCTCCTACCACCTATAGTCAGGGGAGGGATCTATAGGACACTACAGGCCAGGACTCAGGGCTTGGGGACCTAGAAAACACATTACAGCCCCCTGACATGGGGAGTTCCCATGCCCAGATGGCTATTGGAGATCAAATCAGAAACAAATGACTTGGCCTGGGCTGACCTGAGGTGACTATTGACATGAGTAACAACACCCCCCCCACACCGCCACCACCACAGTTAGGGTTGGTGTGGGGGGTCATTTTTATTTTTGCTTGGTGACAAACTGCTAAATAATAGATCTGGTTGGGGTTTTGGTTTTGCCCCCACCAGCCTGACCAGTGTGTTGGTGCATAGACTCAATCAGCAGGTTATTTTGGCCTTGCTGGACCTAGGGCTTGGTTTCTATTCCCTGAGGCGTCCCCTGTCCCTTCGTGTCTGGGCCTCCCCCACAGGGCTGTGTTTGTTTGCCAGCCTGTCTGGGGCCCTGCGGACTGAAGCAGGCAGAAGGGCCTTTGCCAGACTCCGGGTTTTTGTGTGGCCAGGGCACGTGGCACAGAGATGCAGATTCTTGCTCATTCAGGGTGCTCATCACATACAGCAGCAGCTCCTGCACCTCCTGCCTCAGCCCCTTTGTCCCACTGGGTGCCATCTTCCTGTCTTCCCCCTCCCCAGGTTCCTCTGCCTCGCCGCCTGCAGCACACAGTAGCCCAGCTCTCGTGACAGCAGTAGCAGCAACACCTTGAATAATCCCTTACATCACTGGACCTGGCTTAGTCCTCAGGCTGAGGCTGAGGCTCGGGGAGGTTCTGCACCTTGCTTGAGGTCATGGACTTCTAAAATTGTTTTGATTTTTGGTCTCATCGCTGCTCTTCTTGCCCCAGATGCCCTCTTGCTTTTGGAGACTTGGACTGTCCTGTTGCAACGAGCATCCAATCTGTTTCTTTTTCTTTCTTTCTTTTTTATTTTTTTATTTTAAGGAAGGGTCTACAGGTGCTCAGGGTCTCACTACTAGATGGGACCCATAGTGATTCTCCTGTTTACAGCCTCCCAAGTGCTGGGATTACAGGCATGCACCACCATGCCCAGTCTCAATGACAGTCTCAGCTCGCCCCGGGGTGGGGCTGGCCCAGCAGGCCCAGGGATCGAAACTCCCGGCCCCTGAGCCTGCTTGCAGGCCAATCTGTTTCTTAAGCAACAGAACTTCAATGTGTTGAGGCAAAAGAAAAATTCCAAGCTTTACTTGCAGCCAGTGACGTGCAAGTAGAAAACTTAAAGACAATTACTTCAAGCTTTGAGGAAGACAAGCCCTTTTCATCCTTGTTTATTGTGTGGAGCTCAGATGTAACAGCTGGAGCTCAGCAGCTACCTTGGACAATGAAGTGACTTTGAGGATAGAAAATACTAGGAGGGTACAGCAGAAATTTAGCAGGGGTCTAGGTAACTAGAGAGTCACTAGACCAACCCAGATTCCCTACTTCCAGACTTCTTTATGCTAGAGAAACTTCTATAGTGTTTAGGTCACACTATATAGTTTTCTGTTGTCTATAGCCCAGTTTAATCTCTCCTGATTTAGGATATAGATGATGGAGTCCATATTTTTGTGATTTTTGTGATGGCTATCATATGAGTCCTTACCAATAAAGATTTTGAGCATAGATGCCAAAAGATACCTATTGTTGACTTAGAAGTTAGAGAGACGGTGCTTGGAGCATTTAGGGACCCTGAGTATGGAGGCGGGGCAGGCATTAGGTTCTCCAGAGTCTATGGAGGACTCTGAGGACAATGGTTTTTTTGGTTGTTGTTTTTGGTACCTGGGATCGAACTCAGGACCTTGCACTTGCCAGGCAGGTGTTTATGCCGTTGCAATCCCCCCAGCATTTGTAGACTCATTTCTATCACTGTTACTACAAGTGACTGAAAGCCTAAGCTTCTGAGACACCGAGTTTAAGAAGTCAGGGGTGGGAGGACTGAGGTTGGTTCTTCACTTTGTGAGTAGCACTAGGGACCATGCTCTCTCTGGCTTCTAAAATTCCTCCATCATTCAAGTGCAAGTGCATTGGCATTTATTTTGCAAGATGTCTTTCAAAGCCATGTGTTAATGTTATGTCTGCCCTTTTTTGGCAAGAGAAAGAGGGAAAGTGCAATCCCAGCACCCCCCTCCTCCCAGCAAGCAGTGCTCTGCTGCCTGTCTCCCCACTTTTTTTTTGTATTTAAGACAGGGTCTACAGGGTCTCACTGTGTGGATAGGACTCGTAGTAACCTCCTGTTTATAGCCTCCCAAGTGCTGGAATTACAGTTGTGTGCCACCAGACCCAGTCTCAATTGCTATCTCACAGATTTAATGTACTCCCTATCAAACTACCATCAACATACCTCCCAGACCTAGAGAAATCATTCCTAAAATTTATTTGGAACCAGAAAAGACCTAGAATAGCAAAGGCAATCCTGGGCAATAAAGACAAGGCAGGAGGCATTACAATTCCTGACTTGAAATTATACTACAAGGCTCCTGTGATAAAATTGCTATCTCAGCTCGCTCTGGGGGGCAGGGCCAGCACAGCAGGCCAGGGGATTGAACTCCTGGCCCCTGTATCTGCCTAAGCAGGAACTTTAATCCACTGAGCTATTTGGCTGGCCCTTGCCTGTTCCCTTTCTAAGAAGTGATGTTCTTATCCAGAAACCCTTTGGTGAATGTGCTGTGATGTCTCATTGGCTAACACTGGGTCACATGGCCTCCCTAGTTGCAAAGGAGTTTGGAAACATATTAGGCAACAAAGGGAGATGCCTGGGAATGGCTATTAGATGACCACCCTGCAGAACCTACAAACCCAGGAGCTACTGGCCACATTGTAAGACCTAGCTAAAAAAAAAAAAAAAAAAATATATATATATATATATATATATATATATATATATATATATAGGCTTAAAAAACATGAGATTAAACAAAACACGAGATGAAAATAAGCAGAGATTACACGAGATTAAACAAAACAAAACAAAACACGAGATAAAAATAAGCAGAGATTATAACAATACTTCCTGCACAGCTCTTGGGGCCTAGATACTCACCCTGGAAACCATTGTCATAGCGTAAATGGTACAATGTCTGCTCTCAGGATATTAAATTCTATGATGATATGATCGTTTAATATTCCATTTACTATTTTTTTTTTTTTTTTTTTTTTTTTTGATGGCCTGGTGTTCTTTATTGCCTGTCACTCGGGCTGAGGGGGAGCCAGCACCCTCCTTCCAAAACCTGGGCCCGGGCCACGGGGACTCAGCTGAATGCCCAAGTGTGCCTGGTGCACGGAAGGCTTCGAGGGCCCACTTGGTCCGGAAGAACCCGACTCACATGGTCCAGTGTGCGTACAGCAGGGCCAGGAGGAGGAAGATGGCCACCGAGAGCAGCATGTTCCTCCAGTTCTCCTGCCGAAGCAACTTCAGCTCCTTCTCATAGTTGGAAGCTCTATTCATTAGGCTGTTTCTCTCCTCCTCCAGAGACCTGCTGTCCTCGGGGCTCAGCTCTGCCCTGTGGAGCCGGCAGCTCATGGCCTCCAGGTCCCACCGGCACTGGGACAGCTTCTCCTCTAGCCCATCGATCTCTAGAGCGACACCCAGATTCTCCTGCTTCTTTTTAGTCATGTTGCCTGCTGGGATCCTCTGGCCATAACTTCCATTTACTCTTATTGATGTCCTTTGTAGCTGTTTTTATAGAATAGAGTCTAAGCAAGAACCAAACATTATATACATGTGATGATTTTTTTCTTAAAAAATCTTTTACTTATTTATTTATTTGGTACAGGGTCTGGATACCAGTTCAGACTCAGAGTGATCTTCCTGTCTCAGCCTCCCTAGCACTGGGATTGTAGGCATGCGCCATCACTCCTGAACTCGGTGGCCAGCATGGCATGAGGTAGTAGGGACCAAACCCGGGTCCTTGTGCTTGCCAGGCAGGTGCTTATACTGCTGAGCTATGTCCCCAGCCCAATGTGATAATGCTTAAGCTTTTTTTTTTTTGGCAGAACCGGGAATTGAACTGAGGCCCTTGCACCTGCCCGACAAGTGCTTATTCTACTGAGCTATCTCCCCAGCCCCAATGCTTAAGCTTTTTATTTTTAATTTTTTTTCAAAGTTTTATTGATAAACAGCAATGAGACAGTTTCAAATCAAATCGGAAGTATAGTTTCAACAAATAATACACTGCATATATTCTTCTTAGTGGTTAATTGCTGTACAAGATGCGGACTTGTGATCCTATTTA